GTTTAGCAAGCGATATCGGGGCTTTGAGGCGATATCGCTTACAGCACATGGGTGTAGCAGTACAAGTAAATAGGTGACCGGCTAACAAAACTGAGCTGTAATCAATTACTTGAGAGTTTTGATTATGGTTTTGGTTCAACCCGGGGATTCCCCTGAAGCATCCAATAGGAGCACAGGACTACTTGTGGGTGATGCTGTGTCCTATTTAGAGGCTAGAAATAATACAGAGAAATTTGCTTTATAAACCCATGTCAGAGACTGAAAAATCAGTTCTCCGAGCTCTCCAGAAAATCCCTCTTAAGTGCTGCAGGTTGACTTGGCAACATGAAGGTGTCCAATGTTATTCGATTTCCAACACCATTGTAAGTATACTTCACTATTCTCTCTCAGTCAGTTAATACTAGTGTTTTGTGAAATGTTATGTTAAAGGATATGTTGAAATATATCTAAGTGCTTTAATGGAAGTGTATACTGAAATACTATGCTGAAGTATATCTAAGTGCTTTAATGGAAGTGTATACTGAGATATTATGCTGAAGTATATCTAAATGTTTTTAGTGAAAGTGTATGCTGAAGATAGTACAGTATTTAATCAAGTTAAAAGCTATTTTATGTTGTTCGTTATAAATAAGGTTTTGTCTGTTATTAATAGTTAGTAAAATGAATTATTGTTTAATAAAAGTTATTATAAGTGTTCACCATTGGCCTGAGACTCTATTTCTTTAGTCTAACTGTAAACTTCTTCTAATTAGCGACTTGTGGCTCCAATCGTTACGACAAATCCTCCAATAAATAAATTTGGTGTAACGAGTAGTTTTAAATGAAACTCGAACAATTAAGCCCACCAGGGTGCTACTCATTACAACTCTATAGCTAAACAGTAATATATAAATAGTAATTTATCTCCAATCTCCAACTAAACATATTTACACAGTCTGCATCAAAAAATAATTTCTCATCGGTCATTCATGGATGTTTGGAAAGACTGTAAAGAAATTTTCTTTACTGGTCTCATAATTTCAGTGACAAAACTGGTATAATATTCATAGTGATGGCTAGTTTTTTTTTACCTTAGTTCAGTTTCTATTACTGAATGTAAGCTTTTACAAATACATAAACCATTTACATATATTAAGGTTTTATATAAATGGTATTAACTATATGGATATTACAAGCAAGTATTATGTGTATTTTATAGTACTAAATTCCATTTATTTTACATTTAGTTTCATTAATATTACTGGTCAGAAAAAGAATCTTACAGTGTAAAATCGATAGAGGACAAAACTAAAAATCTTACTATATAAATGGGATATAGGACACAGCTG